CTGCTATTCTTCTGCTAATTTTTTACTTTTTTGTGCTTCTTTCTTCCTCTTTCTGCCCATTCAAGCTTTTTCTTTATGATTCTTTCAGATGGTTTCTGCTAATTTAATCGTTTTTCTGCAATTTTGACTGCTGTTCAGCTGTTGAGTAAAATATTTCAGCAATAAGCATTCACATTGTTTTTTTAAAGGAATTTCAATTTCTCTGGTTAAATATTACTTTTGTCTCATCTTTTAGTCTRTACCTGTGATATTGTTAAATCTCTGTGTTTTCTTTGTCATTTTCTTRAGCTGGTATCCTCAGAGACTCCAGCTGCAGAGCCTCCAGTTGCAGTGGTCCCCCCCGTGGAACCCACCACCCAGCCCTCACCACCTCCACCGCCCCTGCCGCCCCCTCCTGCAGAGAGAACCGGGGGCATCGGGGACTCCAGGCCGCCGTCTTTCCAGTAAGCAAAGCAGAGGAACTCACCTGAAACGTTTTCTGATCTCTTCAGATCTTAAAGCTCTCTTCTAGTTTGAACTCAAACTCTCTCTTGAATGWCTCACGCTCCCAGTATCAAGTTCCRGCAAGAATCCTGCGGGTCGTCTGTAACCGAGCTGAACTGGAGCCTCCCTGTTGCTTATGGGAATAAAAGCTCCCAATTTTACAACACATAACACCTTGAGCTTGGCTATTTAAATAGAAATAATGGGAAAAAAAACTTGCATTTTTTGGCAGTATTGTTTAATATTCTCTGGAAGTTTGAACCAAACAGGGGAAATCACAGCATTTCTTATGGTAAATTTACTTGGCATTTCTGTTTTTGTATTTCAGACAACCCAATATTTAGACGTAATGTTTTAACAGTGTGTCCCCTACATTCTTTGCCTTGGCAGGGCGGGTGGTTGGGAGTGGGGGTAAGGSAGATGGTTGGACAAATACTGGCTTTAGTCTTCAAAAACATCTGGGCCAACAGCTGCTAAATGTGCACCAACTTACTTTTTATGAAATGTTGGACATGGCTGCTGAGTTTCTTCTTAAAAATTGTCGCAACTTTGCAAATGTTGGTTTATGTCAAACAATGCACACTAATTTGAAAAAGAGAGATACCTAAACAGATGTAGACCAGTGTTTGGTGTGTTTTGCAAGGAGCTGACATGTTTAAAGTGAAGTCTAATGTTTTAGAGGTCTCTAGCAGGGACATCACGAGTGGAATGATGGGTTATCAGGCATTTTCCAGAGTGTGTATCAAACATGGATGTTACCTTATAGATTCAATGGGCCTCTTGCAAGAACCGTTCGTACGCACAGATTTGTTCTTAAGTTGTGCGTACGAGTGATTTAAGAGAATTTGTGGTATTCACCAATGTTTTCGTATTCTACGATTTTTTTCAGATATGAACAAAATTCACAAGTGGTCCAGACCTGTCGTATATTTTACCAGCAGTCAGTCTGCTGTTATCCAGACGGATTTTCCTCCCTAATAACTTTATATTTCCTTAGTTTGAAGATATTTTGAGTTGAAAATGAATCACACTCCATAATTATCTTGACAATAGGCTATTCTGCTTGAATTAGAGTTATAATTTTAAATGTAATAATTCAGACTAACAATATAAATTGTCCGTCCGGCCGGCTTATCCACTATCGGGTGCGGCAGGGGGGCAGCAGGAGACCCCGCTCTCCCCAGCGATACTTTCCAGCTCGTCCTGGGGACTCTGAGACGGTCCCAGACCAGAGGGGATATACAATCCCTCCAGCGAGTCCTGGGTTTTCTCCAAAGTGCCAGACWTATTTTGAAAACATTTTAAAATGCTTATTTCAAACCTGCATCTGAGACCACCTGCGACCATGCGGGGGAGCTGTACGGTGCGCAGCGCCGTGGCTTCTGAATAAATGAAAATGATTTAACACAGTTGTTTATACTTTTAGCAGCTGTTTTTATTCCACAGCTGACCTGCTAAAAATGACAGATTTTCTTTTCTGGATCTCTGACAGACGGACTTCAATCTCTGAACTCGTAAAGTTCTTCTTTTTAGTTTACGCTGTCATTTTCATGAATGGACACTTCCTGATATCTGAGGCAGGAAACACAGCCTTATATGGTGTTTTTGGGGCGGTAATTATGCTAATCTCCTCTCACGTGCACGAGCAGCTGGATAGAACAGGTGGAATTTACGAACCCTTCGTACGAACAAAAGTAAGAGAAATTTAGGATAAGAATACGAACATGTTCTTGCATGAGGCCCATTGAACTGCACTACCAGAATGTGACGGTTTGTTGTGTGTTTGTACAGTTCAAATACTCGAGTATTTGACTCTTTACGGCCCAGTGTCATCCTGCACCGTGTCTTGGTGTCTGCCATTAACACCAGAGTAAAGACTGCTGTACTGACATCAGTGTTTTACCAGAAGTCCTGTATTGATGAGTACAATCACATTTAAAGATAAAGCTTTGTTCTGACTTACCTTTTTGTGTGTGTGTGTGTGTGTGTCTGCACGCTTGTGTGTGTGTGTGTGTGTGCAGCAGGATAGGAATCCTGCAGATGTTTGCTAGAGCAGCGTTTCCCCCCAGAAAACGTATTAATCCTGATGGTATCCTTTTTAATGCAAGGAGGTTGTTAGCAGTACCTAACAAGCGCTACATTGTAAATGCWAGGTCCAATCCAGTTATCTTGTCCGCTCCCTGTCTGGAAGTAACAGAACTTTSATCAGTGCCGGGGGGTGGGGTTTGATAAGGAGGGTGGGCAGTTTAGTAAAGCATGGCAACTAGTGGTGCACRGATKTTTAAAAAGTCTGACAGTACACCTTCAATGTTCCAATCTTATTTTAGTGAAAAACATTAAATAAAACCACAATTCAAACTTGATTTAACTGGACATTAGGTAGAGCTCACAGCAGAGCAGAAAGGGACAGTGGCTGATTTTTACACTTTTATGGAGGTAGATGAGAAGCCAATCTTTTCCATCGATCTTATCCAAGTATCGGCTGATCTCCGATCTCCCATATTTACCCTGCTAGAGACACACAGGTATTACTGCTGACATCACGGTGTGGAAACCAGAGTCTGACATGTGGCTCTTGGTTCTTACCCCTCCTGGACACCACCTGGGTGCATTCTTTCAACCTGACCACACCTGTCCAAACACATGTTTGTCTCTGAACAGCCTGTGTCACGATAAAGTCCTCCRGAGGTCAGCCAGTTTCCCCTGATGTTCCAAATCACTGCTTCTTTTAGAGCACAGAGRGAGGGAAGCAAAGATGATGTGGGTTTGTTGCAAATGTGATATGGTGTGTGTGTTTTTTTTCCAAGCATTTTTCAGCCCAAGTGTAAAAGAGTAAAACTTTCTCACGWCCCTTGAAGCTGAACATAATTAGTGATGTTTTCTGACAAAACTCTGAGCTGCCCAGGGTCTTAACTCAGAACTCAGCTAAATGTGATCAGTTTGTTTTATTCTGTGGTTTTTCCAAACTGTTTCCCACATTCAGTGAGTTTAGAGACAAATTTAACACTCCCAACAGATTCATTCTGGCGTGAATAATCTGAAAAACAAGATCCTAATTTTGTCTGACGAGTGACAAACGTTTTGCAAGAGATCCAGGAATAAGTCTGTATCGCTCAGCATCCAAACCTAAATTATTACATGTCACTTAAACCAAACTTCAACTGGATATATATATTCTTTACTTTACTTTACTTGTCAGGCAAACATTCTGCACAACGCTACRCTTTGGTGTCTGAGGTTTGATAATAAACGTCTCTCATGCGTGAGCTGTTTGTAGGGCGTCTGTCATCAGATCCTCTCAGGAGATTGAATCACGGCCGCGGGACACCAACGCTTCAGACTCGGATTGTTTTCCTGAGTTCACTGTAATTAGACGAGATGATATCAGGTGTTGGAGTCTTAAGAGAAAAACTTCATTGAAGTGACAAGTAACCAGATCATCGGCTGTAACSAGAAACTCACCGACAAGTGTCCTGTTTGAAAACAAGTGTGAAGAGCACTTCACAGCTCAGTCTGAACTGGGTTTTGCCCCGTTTACAAAACAGTGTGTGTGTGTGTGTGTGTGTGTGTGTGTGTGTGTGTGTGTGTGTGTGTGTGTGTGTGTGTGTGTGTGTGTGTGTGTGTGTGTGTGTGTGTGTGTGTGTGTTTTTAAGGGCAATAGTAGCGCCTCTGCTGCATTTTTCTCGCACCTATTCTCTATTGTCTGTACTTTTGTTGCCGTCCAGTTGTACTGGGAAGTAGGAATTCCCAGTTGGAAAGACTGCTGTGAAGTTTGTTTTAGCCTGGATATTCCGTATTTGTGCTGTGAGAATTCAGAGTCGTCTTCCTCCTGTCTAACCCGGTGCAMGTGGTCTGATTTGGGTCTTTAGCAGCAGACTGCACCTTGATACATCAGCACTACTTGTTGTAAATAACCTCCCACTCCTGAGACTTCTGAGCCACCGGTTGTTGGGAGTTTCAGGGAGGAGCTGCATGAACACCCCTCAAAATCTTCTGGTCGTTTTTAGTCCGTGTATGGTTCGTTCTTTGGTTTTTTCATTTCAAAATAAAATTGCAAAAACAAAACAAGCATTTTTTTAAACCTAAATGTAAAAATGCAAAATCAAATTAATAGAAAATGTACAGCATTTGATTTTTGCTTTAGCCATCGAAATAAAAATAAAATACGGTTGTTTTAATATGCAMTGATACCGGAAATGAAGTAAGTTGCCAAAGAAGGATAGTTTACAATTATTAGAACTATTGTTAAACATATACTGAAGATTAATAAAATGTAATGATTTAATTACTTACTTGGAATATTAAAGAAATCTTGTTGATGGTAAGATCATCAGCTCTCAATGAGATGCGTTTATTCCCTCTAAATAAGACAAAAACGTATCCATTTTTGAACTGGCAGATTCAGAAGTGCTAACTGAAAAAGTTAGATTGAGTTCAGGTCTTCATTTTCAGTTCCGTCATAAGGTCCCGTTGAAGTAACAAAAAATAAAAGCTTGTCTTTGGTTTAACCATTGCAGTTAAAAAAACAAAAAACAAAACATATCCCTTTTTTATTTTTGCAATTGCAGTTTTTCTAATCTCATTTTGAAAACAGAAAAACAAAAAAAAAAACAATTGTTTTGTTTTTGCAATTTTATTTTGAAACAACAAAAAAACCCAAAGAACGAACCAGATTGTTTTTGTAATGGTCTTTTTGTTTTTGTTTCTGCAGTCCCAATGCTGCCGGCAGCGTGGAGACGCTGGACGATCAGACTGAAACCGAGTCCGTGGTTTCCTTCAGGAGAGAGAGACCTCGGCACAGAGAGAACGTGGATCCGCACGGTGAGAAAGCCCACATCCCATCTCACTGGAAACAAATCCTKCATTATGGCACCCTATCAAGATCTGGCACGCCTCCATCATCCAAACACTGACCGATAGGATCAGGGAACYTAGAAATCTGGAATGTTTTGCTGAATTACAGGCAGAGCAAAAAAGCAAACATGAAACTTTCTGCTAAATGTTGTTTTTTTTTTTTGTTTATTTTCTTGTGTTTAAGGGCCTCGTATGAACGGTCAGAGCCGTCTGGAGCGCCACCTGGCCGGGTACGAGAGCTCCAGTACGGTGATGAGCAGCGAGCTGGAAACCACCAGTTTCTGTGATTCTGACGACGACGACACCATGAGCAGGTGCAAGCTAAATATCTGAGACAATTTTCAGGAAGAACGCCAGGTTTTCCTCGTTTATTGGCTCTGTAGCAATTTTCTGAATCCATCTAACGCTTCATGTCTCAGGTTTATTTAGAAAGTTGTGCATTTTTTTTCAGTATTTATTCAGTCGTCTCACCAGGCATCTCGGTCTCGCAGGTTCAGCAGTGCGACAGAGCAGAGCACCGCCTCCCGGCTTCTTAAACGGCACCGCAGGCGGAGGAAACAGCGCCCGCCACGTCTGGAGAGGGTACGCACCAACGCCTCCCTTTTTTTCCTGAGCTTTGAGGAACTTGAAGAATGAAGTTAGTTTTCTTTTTGTTTCCAGGCTTCGTCCTTCAGCAGCGTGACGGATTCCACCATGTCTCTGAACATCATCACCGTCACTCTCAACATGGGTCCGTACTCACGTTTAACCATCYCTAATTGTGTTCAACTTACAAGGTGGTGTTGTAGTGTAAATCAGTGATGCTCAGCTGGAGGTCCCCGGGCCYTAGGTGGCCTGCAGCCTCATTTTATTCGACCCGTGAAATATTTATTTGTCCTTAAATATCACACGGTYTGACACAGGACTCAAAGGGATTTTATGACGGCAGCTCTTAGCCAATCAGAGTGCTCATTCACAGCATGTGGTAAAAAAAAAATCAAGGAAACAAAAAGCACTTTAAAGCCATAAAGTACAAAACTGAGTCCCATCTGCTTTTATATTTTCAACTTTGGCTAAATTCAAACATCTGCTAATAGTTATAGATGTTCACAAAGATCAGATTTAATTACATTTTATTAGATATTTATAGACAGTTTTAAATATTTAAACATCTTTTTTTTTAATCAGGAACGCTTTGTGCTCCTGAGCTGTATTTAATGAGAGTTAAACACCTGGATCAGTGGGAGAAATCATAAAAAGCTGTACCAGTAGCTGCTAAGTTAAGCTAATAAGGGAGCTAACAGRATTAGCATCAATAAGCTGAGCTGTGATTAGCCACGGTATCGGCTGCTGTAGTTTTTCTGGTTGGTGCAGTTCACTGCAGACTTGGAGCTGTTGAAATAGTTACTTTATGATGTCTTGAAGTTGACACAAATGTTCTTTGACGCCGCTTTCTTTAAAATGTTTAAAGTTGACTAATTCCAAACTTCCCATAATCCCAAAAATCCCATAATTWTTGCCTTTACTTACAGTAAGTAGCTGTTTAGCATTTGTCATAAGAAAACATTTTAAAACATGGACTGTTTAGCATTTTAGAAGATAACACTTTWAAAAAAATAAAACAAACCAACSATAAGTACCAAAAACATGGCCGATCGAAGGTCTGCCCTTACACTGCCTGATTAGAAAAATTCTGGACCTTGTATAATTACTTTTGATGAGATTTGTTTTTCATCGTCTAAAAAAAATTGTGCCTAAAATTGTGTTCCGATTCTTTAACAACTCAGAAAAGTACAACTTCCTGGGCATCAGCATTGTGGGTCAGAGCAACGAGCGGGGCGACGGCGGCATCTACATCGGCTCCATCATGAAGGGCGGAGCTGTGGCTGCGGACGGACGCATCGAACCCGGCGACATGCTGCTGCAGGTCCGACTCAGTCATCAACACTTTAATGACGTTAGACAGGCGGTGTTCATCAGTGATCTGAACTGTTTCTTTAGCTGTATTTGTTATTTTTCTTCAAKCTTTCTCCTCTCAAGGTGAACGAAATCAACTTTGAGAATATGAGCAACGACGACGCAGTTCGAGTTCTTCGAGAGATCGTGCACAAGCCGGGGTGAGGTGTAGAACTTTTACAGTCGAATGTTCAGTTTTGATCTTTCTGCTGAAGTTAATCAGTGGTTATTTTCACAGACCCATCATCCTGACGGTGGCAAAGTGTTGGGATCCCTCTCCTCAGGGCTACTTCACTCTGCCGTGCAGTAAGGGTGCAGGTTTTCAGCTTCAGACCGTCTCCTCTGGTTACCGTCCGTTTTTAACGTAGCTCTTATTCTCAATCTGTGCAGATGAACCGATCCGGCCCATCGACCCTGCGGCGTGGGTCAGTCACTCTGTGGCYATGACGGGGGCTTACCCCCCCTACCCAGGCAGCTCCTCCCTCAGCACCATCACCTCCTCTTCCTCCGTCACAGAGACCGAACGTAAGTCCTCGTCGTTCAGAGGTTTGGAGGTGGAGCTCCAATGTAAACTTGTAAACAGTCAATATCTTACCTGCTGTAGGTAGCTTTTTAAACGTCCTCAGTTTGAATGAATGAAGCTTAAATCTGGACTGGATTGAAGTTATTACTTCCTGTTACTGACCATGTGAATGTGAATGGATTTTATTTTTTAATTTATTAAATTTTTTTGTTGCAGTGCGTTAACATTTTTTTCCAAAAACTGAATGCTGTTTTATTCTACAATATTATGTATTTATTTTTAATTTATTTGGCTATTTGTAAGCATAAAACGTTCCAGCAGCTAGCTGTAGCACTTCCTGTGCAGCCCAATGCAATGTCAATGTCAACTTGATTTATAAAGTGCTTTTAAAAACAGCTAATAGCTGCGCCAAAGTGTGGTACAGCAATCCACAAATATCACAAAACCACACAAAAAAAGCTAAAAAAAAAATCAAAAAGAAAAAAATTGTATAGGTCCTCTGGACGGGTTCTTCTCTAATGAAACGTTTCGTCTCTCCTCCAAGAGACTTCTTCAGTCTGAGAGTTTCAGGCAAAATTCAGGCTTTTGAGTCCTGCCTCCAMGTGACTGATACTCACATCACATGGCTATCGTTGACACCTAATTAATACCTATTGTTAACAGGGGGTGGAGTGATACTGCCAATGGCAGCYCTGTAGGAGGGGGACAACTGAAAACGGAGGCCTCCACCTCTGTTTAATGATGGACGGTCTTTCTTCACAAAAATGGCTTCTTTTACTCCTCTCTCAAACCAACGTTCCTCTCTATCAAGAATGAGAACATCCTCATCTCATTCTTGATAGAGAGGAACGTTGGTTTAAAGATTTGAACCCAAACCTCTRGACTCTCTTTTGTATTTATCTTTTATAACAACAAATTTTATTTATTTATTTTATGATTTTGTCCCTGATGTGATTAAATCGAGTCATTCTGTCGTGTGAATTTCACAGGTTTTGATGACTTCAACTTATCTTTACACTCTGACATGGCTTCCGTCGCCAAGGCCATGGCTTCACCGGAGTCRGGTCTGGAGGTCAGGGATCGCATGTGGCTCAAAATCACCATCCCCAACGCTTTCCTCGGTAAGACCACCGCTAAACAAAAAAAGATCCCCAGAGAGACAGGAAACAAACTGAACTCTCTGTGGCTCGCAGGACGTTAACAAGGCGGTCATTATGTTCAAAATGAAAACCGTGTGACCGGTGGGAGGAGGAATCCCCACCGTGCAAATGTGTTTCCCTGCTCGGCGTGGATTCAATTAGTCACCTGCAGCTGACACACAAATAAGTTACATGAACAACATTGATCAGTTTTCCTGCTTTTTAAATGGTTTCTTTTTTTTATTATTCACCAAAAGTTAAATTTAGACACTCTAATTACTTTATTTCAATTTTAAAATGATGCTGGTTTGGAGGCTGAAAAGTGTTTTTACTAATCATCTTTTCAGTTTGCTCTTTGGAACAAAACAAAGATGATTATATTATCTGCTTGATACCTAAATAAATTCACGGATCTTTCCCGTTTGTGTTTGTCTCCCAGGCTCGGACGTGGTCGAGTGGCTGTTCCACCACATCGAGGGTTTCCAGGACCGGCGGGAAGCCAGGAAGTACGCCAGCAACCTGTTGAAGGCCGGCTTCATTCGACACACCGTCAACAAGATCACCTTCTCTGAGCAGTGCTACTACGTGTTCGGAGACCAGAGCGACTGTGAGAACTGTGAGTTCAACCTGAAAACACCAGGGGCCTCATGTATAAATGGTGCGTACACATAAAAAAAGTTGTGTGCGCCAGGTTCTACGCCCACGTTGTGATGTATCAAAATCAACGTTGCATGAAAGCGTGCGTAAATATACGCACACTTTTCACCTGCCGTGAACATGTGCGGCGGCCACGCAAAGTTTTTCAGTCGATAGTTTTAACACACAAAGTCATGAATCTGACCTGAATCTACAGAAATATGACTCTATTCTGTTTTTTTTGGATGTAAGG